AACCTAAATGGTTTCAAATTTAAAATTCATGAATAACAAGTTTGTTGTACTCATCCTGATCTACAATGTTTATTTTGATCTTTTTTGCATTTGACAAAGTGTTAATAAACATTAGTTACAAAATGGCATGTATCACAAGTAGTTTTATAAACTATGTGTGAGATTCATGATTTTTTGACTAGTGTTCATTAAAACTCCGATAATTGACACATACATAAATATAGTCTCACACACATACACAAATTGACACATACATAGATGAAGTCTTGCAGACACGCGCACTAGGTAGGCCCCACCGTGACAACTTTCCCCTTGACACCTTTTCTTTCCCATGGCATTATGTCTTTGGGTAGTTTTTTTTTCAACAAGACTGATCTTCTTAGTAAAGTCTATGAATAGCAACATCTCATCGTTGTTATTGTAGGCTTCAACATCGTCGACGCCATCAACTCCGATAATGTGTTGTTTCCTAGGGATAACCACGTGCTTAATTCTCTTCTTCGATGGGTGGGTACTTTCTGGGTCGGGCATATAGAAAACTTGTGCGACACGTGAAGCGAGCACCCAAGGATCATCATGGTAGCCTACGTTCTGGAGGTCCACGACCCTCAAACCGATGTCATTGAATTGATATTGCTTGATCCAACGGCATCGAAATAAGGCCACCTTTATACCCCTTCCATAGTCAAGTTCCCATATATCTTCAATTATGCCAAAGAAATGGGTCTTTCACCCCACCTCGTCAAGAGACACTATTCAAACACCACTGTTTTGGTTCACACATTTACTATCCTTTGTGTCGGTATAGTACGTGTACCCATTGATGTCATAAGCATTCCAAGATGTCACTTGTCTCGATGGACCCTCTGCCAACTTACTGATGGTAATAGAATCTATTGTTTCTTCCGGCGGTATGTTCTTGTCCTTCAACCATGAAGTTAGGCGTTGTTTGTGCTATTTTATGACCCAATCATCTGAACGACCATCCCTCTCCACCATAATGATTTCCAAGTGTTCTTCGATGTATGGTTCCATCAGTTTAAAGCTCTGCAAGACACTGTAATGTGCCCGACTCACTTCTTTGTAATCTTGGTCTATGAACTCTTTTTACCACCGGTTCCCTTCCCAGCTAGCCTACCCTTGTGATGAGAATCAGGATTACCAATCCCTTTCTGTATTGTCAGGTACTCTTGACAACACTCGACGACTTCTTCGCTACTGTAGCCCTCTATTATGGAGCCCTCTGGGTATGCACGATTATGCACGTATCGGCTTAGAACCGACATGAACCGCTCGTAGGACCACATTTCATGTAGGTAACAAGGGCCCAAAGCCTGTATCTGATTAACCATGTGAATCATGAGATGTACCATTATATCAAAAAAAAGCAGGAGGTAAACACATCTCTAGTTGGTTCTGGGTCTCGACCACAAAATCATGTAGGTCACTCAGCTCTTTCTTGCCAATGGTCTTCTGTGAGATCTTCGAGAAGAAGTAGCACATGCGGGTGATGGCCATCCTCAAGAACTCTGGCTTTATAGCCCTAATTGCAATTGGTAGGTACACGGTCAGCATCACATGACAATCGTGAGCCTTGCAGTTTGTAAATGACAAGTCCTTCATCAACACTAGCTTCTTGGGGTTCACCGAAAACCCAGTCGGGACTTTGATGTCCTTGAAAAAAGTGCATAAAGTTCTCTCTGGTAGGTCTAGGTTGTAGCTAGCCATGGGCAGAGTGTATTTTCCATTATCCTCAAGTATCGGGTGAAGTTCTGGCATCACTTTGAGCTGCACCATGTCTTTTCGTGCTTTTAGTCCGTCCTTTGACTTGGCTGTGTCCATCAAGGTACCCAAGAGACTCTCAAACACATTCTTCTGCACGTGCATAGCATCAATGGCATGGGGGACCTCCAGTTGTGGCCAATAAGGCAAATACTGAAAGAAGATTGATTGTTTCTTAAAAGGTACGCCTTCGATAGGAGGTTTGCTTTTATCTCTGATTATTCCATCCAGTTTCTTCTTTCCATAGACGATCTTTATGTTTTTCACCATTTTGTACACATGTTCTCCATTATGACGTCTCTTCAGAGGGGGTTCATTCTCCAGGGTGTTGTCATAGTATCTCATGTATAATTTGCTGCGGTACTTGTGACCTGTCTTCAAGAAGCGACGGTTCCTTATGTAAACAACCTTCTTGGATCCATCTAGGAAAACCCATTTAGTATCATCCAAACAGACTAAGCATCCTGTCTTTCCTTTGATCTGTCCAGACAGTGCAAACAATGCGGGGTGGTCGTTGATAGTGACAAATATTATTGCTTTTAATGTGAAGTCCTCCTGTAGGAACGCATCGTACATTGGCACCCCATGCTTCCAAAGTTTCTCAAATTCTTGCATCACAGGCTCGAGGAACACGTCCATATCAATGCCTGGTTGTTTGAGGCCAGAAACTAGAACCGTGAGGAAAAGATACTTTCTCTTATGGCACAACCATGTTAGGATGTTGTACATGGTCAGAATCACTGGCCAAGTGCTATGGTCGCTCATCCTCTCGTTGAAGGGATTCATTCCATCAGTGCTCAAGGCGAACCGTACATTCCTTGGGTCTTCTCTAAACTCTTTGTTGTTCTTATCGAAGTCTTTCCACTGGCTACAATCGGCCGGGTGTGCGATCATATTGTTTGCTACCTTGCGCTCATCTTGCCACCATGTCATTAGCGCGGCTTCCTTAGGGTTCAAGAATATACGCCTCAAGCGGTCGGTCACCGGCATGTACCACATTACTAAGGCAGGAATTCTTCTCTTCTTTGCATCGTTGCCTAATGGAGTGTTCTCTGGTTGCTAAGATTCTTGTACCGCCTTTTTCCCACCCTTCTTATCCCTCTTGTTCCCCGTGGAGGCTTCTCCCCCACTATAAAGGTCATTGTCTTTGTACCGACTAGCCCCGCACCGAGGACATTTATCTAGATCTTTGAACGTGTCACCACGAAAGAGGATACAATGGTTGGGGCATGCATGGATTTTTTCAACGCCCATTGTCAAATGACTTATAACCTTCTTCGCATAGTATGTGTTGGCAGGAACTGAGTTTGGCTGTGGAAGCAACCATGCTAGGAGACGCAAAAGATCATCAAAACTACAGTCCGACCAGCCGTACTTAGCCTTCAGGATGAGTAGCTCAAGCATAAAACGTAGCAGTGTCCAGTGTGTCAGACAACCCTTCTCTACACCATACACAGTCTCCTTCGATGCTTTTGTCACCCTTTCTAGATTTTGTAGACCTCTCTTCTGTAATAATATTTCTGGTCCAACGGCCCAAAGCATTTCATCCAAATTGTCACCGTCGTCTTTATCCCCCTCACGTGCTCCGCCATCATTGCAGAAATCACCACCTTGTTCATTGCGGATGTCACCACCTTGATCATTGCCTAAGTCATGATCCATTTGTTGAGCAAGCTGGTCTGAGTATTGGGACAGGTACTGCAGGGTTTCAGCATCGTCTTCTAGAACATCGCCATCATCATCAACTGCCATTGTTTCACCATGATGAATCCAAACTGTGTAGTTCCGAACAAATCCTCGCCTGATCAGATGTTCTTTGATGATACTCGAATCTTGAAATGCCACCGTGTTCTTGCAATCCTTGCAGGGACAAATAATTGTATCCTTATTATCTATCAACGTCGCTGCATGCTTCTCTGCGGCTTCAATAAAGTTGTCAACCTCTTCATGAAAAGGTGCCTCGAATCTTAACGAATCATACATCCAAGAGTTCATGTACTCCATCTTTTAAAAATACAACACAACCAAAGAAAATATACGAAATGAGTCAAATTAATAATTAATTAATTGAGAATGATTATATATACTCCATGGTAGAGGATAATTAATCAATTGCCTACTAATATAATGCATAAATATTTGAAATGAAATATAAAATGGTTAATATATACCATCACAAAGAAATGGTCTAAAAAACTACATTTCATGCCACCCAAAATCCAATTTCATTAAAAAAATAAAAAAAACAAAAACCTAGATCTAGAACTAGATCTCATACATTTGCTTTAATCAAACTAGGGTGTAATCTAGGGTCTAAAATCAAGCAAAATCGACTAATGAAGAGTGTAAGCTCATTTCTCTACCTAATTTACACTAATAGCTTCAAATCTAGGGTCTAATTTGCTACATACAAAGCTCAAGCACCATGGAGGAGAGAGAAAACCAATAATCAAATTACTCACTAACCAACCATTAAAACTTCAATTAAAGAGTTGGAATAGCATTTTCTTACCTTCTACAACCTCCCCACCAAAGGAATTGAGATCAAAACCTCCCCCCTTAGTAGAGCAATTTTTGGGAGGAGCCCAAGGCCTCCCAACCTTTTTTTCTTAGGTTAGAGTGAGCGACCCTAGGAGAAAGAAGGTGGTGGCTGCTACGTATACTGTACACATTTGTAGGGGCGGCTGGTGATTGAGCCGTCCCTAAAAATCCAACTGTAGGGGCGGCTCAATCACCAGCCGCTCCTACAAATGACCCCCATTTGTAGGAGCGGCTGGAGACACCAGCCGCCCCTACTGTGCAATTTGTAGAGGCAGCTAGTGTCCAGCGCACAGGGTGTGGCCTGGCAGCGCCACTGTAGGGGCAGCTAAAGAGCCAGCCGCCCTTACAGTGAAAAGGGCCGTGTCCCTACAAATCTTTTTTCACGTAGTGCTTCTACTAGTTTTCATGTACGTACTCACATTGAAGACCTGATCCAAGTCCATTATATTACCGTGTCGGACTTGACATGCACGTGTGATTCAATTATATAATATAACCCCCTTCATCGCATTGCCGTATTATTTCCTGAGCCCCACCGCCGGCCATGTCTCCTTATCAAGCGTCGTTCAATTCTGTTGTTCGACAAAGCGGGAGGCTGATATCATGGAGGAGGTCTCAGATCACCAGAGACCATGATGGCAGCCAGCAGTCATGCACGACAACCCGATGGGGTCCTCATGGAGATCCTCGCCCGGCTGCCGGCCAAGTCCGTGGGCCGCTGCCACTGCTTGTCTCGCGCGTGGCGCGCCATGCTCTCATCGGACAACTTCGTGGGCCTGCACGTGCGGCTTGCCAGCAAGCTGGGACACCCACAGCTGCTCCTCTCCCCGGTAGGGTCCTCCTACGATGGCTACATATATTCATGGCGGCCCAGTGGTAGTGGTGCGGTCGAGAAGCTCATGCTCGATGATTTTGGGGGAGGGGATACCGTGCCCCTCACCAAGCCCTACCGTGGCCTAGTTCTAATCCGGGCCACTGACGGTGGTAGTTACTTCATTTGTAACCCTTCCACGGGTGAGTTCCTAGCTCTCCCCGACAGCGAGGCACCGTTGAAGATGACTTTTCAAAGATCGAGTCTTGGCGGCCTAGAATTACCCTTCTACGTGTAAGGGTATCATATGGCCTTGGTTACTGTGCAATGAGCAAGGTATATAAAGTGGCGTGCTTGTTCTCCAACTTGGAAGCTGATGAAGGTGAGGATGACAAGTACATGACGACAGGCTGTGAGGTCCTCGTCCTCGGCACACCTAGTTATTGGAGACCTAGTGCTGAAACCCCCCTCCCTTGTGCTCAGTGAAGGAGAAGAACCCAGCTGTCTTCTTAAACGGGTATCTGCACTTCGTATGCTGTGACGGTGGCATCACCATCATCAACATCAGCGATGAGACCTTCGCTTCGTTGCCTCCACCATCTGGATTATTCGAGAATGAGACAGCAGAACCCTTGCTGACTGAGCTGAACGGGTATTTGTGTTTATACTATGGAGATCGTCCATAAGATAGTGAAGATCTTTACCACATATGGGCTTTGAGAGATCGCAACAAAGAGCAGTGGGTGAAGCTGTGTTGCATTGATGGAACAGCTTGGCCGAAATCTAAATGCAAGCTGCTGGAGTCACTTTGGTTTGCCCCACTATGTGTATATCACTCAAACAACCATGGGAAAAAGATCACGTTCGGGACAGGCACTTGCAAGGTGTTGGCAGTAGACCTGGGTGGCGGCGCGCCAGAGATTTTATTCACACCGCATGATACAATCATTGGAAGTTGTGAAGATAATGGCATAGCCGCAATAGGGCTATTTGAGGAGAGCCTCGTGCCCGTGGGCCGAACAATGGACGACATGGTGTCGTCATCGCCAACAACTAAAGCTTGGTTCGACGTCTTGAAGTGGCTGCCAACACGCTCTGTTATGGAGCTGAGATTGGTTTGCAGGGAGTGGCGGGGAATGATCATGAGTGACAGTTTTATCCGATCACATGTTATCCATGCAAACATGAAAAGGAGCCCGCGGATCAAGTTCGTTATTGATCCTCGCTTCGGCGTCTATCTGGATCTGGATAAATGCGAGGGTGAAGGTGCACTACAGCTGACGACCTTAATGTGGGGAGCAGGGCTGGACAAAATACTCATGGCTCGCCAACTTGCTCGACTCGTGTCTGGCTTGGTTCGGCTCGGCTCAGCTTGTTTTAACTTTTTCACGAGCTAAGCTGGATGTCTAGCTCGCTGTTTTAACGAGCCAGCTTGAGCCAGTTCGCGAGCTGCTCACGAGCTGAGGCCTATCCGCCCATGACCATGAATCCAGAAGATGGTGATGCAGACCTAGAAGTGTACACATATTCCATTGATATGTAATCCTTATTTTCAGCTGTTTCATATGAATTTTGATTTTATAATTGTTGTGGTACTTAAATGTTGATTTATGGATTGTTTCCCAGGGAGAAGATGATGCTGACATTGAATTTGTGGACTTTCCTAAGTCTGTGGTGGCAAGAAGACTCGTGTCTGCAAGAACCTAAACTACTCGTGGAGGAGGAGCAGCCTCCCCCGATCTGTGCGTTCTTCGCCGGATTTGAGGAAGCTGTGGATGTTGGGCCCTGTACTCTTGCCCAACATCTCAACTGCTACGGACACGACGTCTTCACCAAGCTCGGCCAAGAGAACGATCTAGGGGCCACCCTCCGACTCTAGGTAGATCCAAACTGGATCCCCCCATCGGATCTACAATTGCCACCAGATCACTTTGTTCCTGGCTTTCCGGCTAGGTTAAGGAAAGCGGTGGCAACTTATTCTAACTAGCTTCAACAAGCCTTGGTGTAACCCACCAAACCTTGCACTGAGGATCACCCCATCTGTAGTTCTCACTCTCCTGAACGTTCCGACAACCTGGTTACCTAGTTCGTTAGGATGATAACCAACGGCGACAAAGATATGGCTGACACGCCGAAAGATTGGGAACATGTAGAGGATGACGAGCATACCCTAGATCTCGATCTCGATGAGTATGATCAGTTCCTCCTCAATAACCTAGAGCTAGGAAAGGAACTACCCAAAGAGGAAGACACTGAGTCCAAAGAGCAACCCGAGTGTTATATGAATCTACAAGATCCTAAACCACCTCGGAAAGCACTCGAGAAGTTGGCGCTCGAAAGCGCCACTCCACCGCCGGGGACGTTACCATCTCAGACGCCCCATACGAGACTAGTGACGAAGCGCGTGTTGGCATTTCTTAGCACAATCACCAAGTGTGGAGGTTTTAAGTCCATCCCAGCAAAGACGCTAGAAATGCTTGTTGGCACTTCTTAGCATAGCTACTAGGTTTACATCCCTAGCAAAGACGCTAGAAGTGTTTGTTGGTATTTCTTAGCGTCATCGCTAATAATTAGCAATGCCACTAAGTAATAGCCTTGATAGTTCCTTAACAATTTTAGATATTTATCCGCAAGAGCACAAAACTACCATTGTAGCATTTCACCCGGAAGTATTTAGGGTATCGTTATTTATATTTTTCCAAAGGAAGGCATTTGATTAAGAGTCTAGTATGGATATGTACTTGAATAATAATGCTTGCAAGTACACCAATGTTTACAACAGGGGTAAGAATGGTGATTTCAAGATAGTGGACACACACTTGGCATTCCTCAAAGGATACAACAGAAAAAAGAATAAAAGAATAATCCTAGGTCGAGCAAGCATTGGTCTAGTATAGTCATACAAAGATTAGTTAATGATCATACAAGTTACATAATTAGTCTTAGGGCTAAGTATGAAGCAGGTCGGGAGGCCACCGAGTACTGGTTTGCCAGTAACCTCATGTGACAATTTAGACTCCAGCACCCAGTCGAACGTGGGGGATTACAAGGGACGGACTGGGCTATCACCACCTGCCGCCTACCCCTCAACCGTGGAAAGGGACAATGCATTCACTTGTCTCTCCATACCCAAGCACCACGCTTGCGTATATAGAAACTATCCAAATCCCCCTGGGTCCCCGACCCTGCGGATCGACAGGTAAAGGACTTAGACACACCTGACGGCACGATGAACCACCACCTCAACTTTGCTCTAATTCCAGTTATATAAGTTATATGAGTTGTTAAGCATAAAGTCATGTATGCTACTCTCATGACATACAAACTATAGACTTGTTCATATATAAGATCATAACACAATAACTATACTCTAGTTCATAAGTATGACTATAATTATAATATGAGAGCATAACTTTAGAAGAACTCATAATTCTATTCATAACCAAGAGTCACTTCTTCCAAGGAGCCAAGCTCTCCAAGGTAGCTTTGCCTTGCTCTAAAACACTACTAAAGGTAAAAGCTACAAACTAGAGAAGGGAGTGAGGCAATGATCAAGTTGAGTGTGTTGAGAGAGGGGGGTACCCCTCTATTTATAGAGGAGCCTAGGTGGTTCTTGGAGGCTATTATTGGCGCGTCCCCAGCTCCCACCGCCTTAGCATGTCCACATGCCACCGCCAGAGTAAGGGGTGGCTGAGGAGCGCTGGTAGGGGGTCGCCCGCCCCTAGGGGTCAGCCACCCCCTGACTGAGCCGCCTCGCCGCTGCCTTTGCATGGCAGGCCTTGGGCTAGACATGGATCATTGCTCCATGGGGTTTTGCTCCAATTGAGTTGATTTAACGGGCATCTCCCTTGTTCCTTTGCGCAAATCAGCGTCGGAAAGCGCCTTTCGGTGAATTATTCCATGTATTTGTGGTTGTGACCTACAAAATAATATTCTCCAAATACATGTGGAACTTGGTTAATAGTAAATGCATATGTATTTAAGATTGCCAATTTCTCCTCTTTTTGTGTCTTAATTGGCGGTCGGATTTGATCAATAATGACCGCCAACAAGATCCCCAAGCTTAACCTTTGCTCGTCCCGAGCAAATAGCTAAGTTATTGGTTGTTGATCAGTAGTTGCTACAATGCCGAATATAATTCACAAGTGCCATGCCTATAACAAAGTATTCTTCCTCAATTTAAATAAGTTTGGTATTCTATCCACCCTTTTAACTTAATCCCTATGGGGCTTATTGCTGTTCCAAGTCTTAGGTGGTTGCAAGATAGAACGGTTTTAGCAGAATTACCAATCATTCATTCTTTGATCAATCTTCTATCCAGAGATTTTATGAGTTTTGCAAAATAAAATATAAGTTCCTCAAAAGATTCACTCGATCGCTCAATGTGTATGATCCTCACCAAGGCATTGTTTTGCCTTCTTTTCATCCTATCTCTAAAAGGCTTTGAGTGGAGTTTTAGGTAGGTATGAATAAGAGGCATACTTACATCACATATATTGCTAAATCAAAAACCGGATCCAAGGAGATACAAGTCATACACTTTGATCAAGATGTGCAAGTGTGGAATATTTTTCTAATCCTAATATTTTTGGTACTCCTTTACTCATGACTTTCTCTCTTTTGATAATTACCATGGAAGTATGGGCTATCTCTATTTCTTTTTTTTCAACACTTGGAACCTTCATGTGTTCCTTTTTTTCTTCTCTTTTGCTATTTTGAGAGCTTCATATGTCTCTCTTTTTTTAGCATAGCTCCATACTTCTTTTTGCATATGAAAACTTTGGAGAGAAAGACTCAGGATAAATGAATGGAGTTTTTATTTTAGGTGGACAAAAAACATGTTTTTGCGTAACTCTCAGTGTAAGAGTTAACATTTTATTTGTGGGTGTATGTGAATCTTGATCATGGGTGCATGACGAGAATCTCAACAAGGGTCACAACAATTTGATAAAACTCAATGTGAATATAAGTAGCATATGACAAAGGTTTGGACTTTAAATCATGTCATATGGCCGTGGTAGGAATTCATAACCATTGACGAACTTTTGATTTTAGTATTTTTAAAATAAAAACTCCGGATGTCAAGTTTCTCTTAGAATAAAGTCATAACATATTCTATTTACCATATCATAACTTGCAACAACTTAGAAAAGGATCATGCTTTTGTAACCCACAAGTTTCAAGTTTTAGGATGAGACATTTTAGCCAACAAACTTAAATCTTGAGGAATACTAAGTTACAGTCTAAGCACAGATGAATTATAGATAGAGCAATTATTCATCATTTCAACAAAGGAGAAAGTAAACATTCTTAAATCACATATGAGAGCGAAATAATTATTTTTGTTGTTTTTATCTTATTTCATTTTTTTGGATTTTATAATTTTTTGATTTTTTAAATGCTAATAAATAAATAAATGCAGAAAATAAATAATGTGAAAATTAACATGCAGAAAATAAAAGATACTACTCACCTATGTGGGGGTCCTCTCCCAAGCTAGCTCGTTTTCTATGGTTTGGGATTGTATGCTTGGTGATGACTCCGAGGTGATTTATTTATTTTTATTTAGTATATCAACCAACATTTATATTTCATGGTTTTGGCACATTGATCAAGCTAACATATTGATCACGATAGACTGATTAACCTAAGCATCTTGCTTAATTTAAAAGTCTACAAAAGCATG